CAGCTGTACCCCAGCCCCGATTGTTTAGGCTGTCCGAATCCTGGTGCGCATTAAGCCAGGATCGGGCTCCGGAACTAGCTGATGGAAGTGGACATGAGGTGACAGCGAGTAGATCCCGGAAGTTTGGGGCGATCGCATCAGAATCTTTCCATTTGTCACCCTGATTGACCATTAGGGAGTGGAATATGGGGGTTCTAGCAAGGACTAAAAGAGGATCCACGTACTCGGTGCGGGCGAAGCTTGGATTCCAGCTCTGTTTGTGCACGCTTGGTATCCGCCCACTCGGTAGCCGCCTTGTCCCGCTGGAGTTCGCTGTCCGCCAGTTTCGCTTGGATCTCGTCGCGCAATTGAGTCACACGCACGAATTCTTCGAGCGCGTAATCTCGTCCGGCAGACGCTTTCTCGAGCGACTCCTTGGTGTCTTGCATCTCCTCAGAGAGTTGAGCCAGGGCTACATCCGGCGATGAGGGAGGTGGATTTGGCGCGGGGGACCCTCCACGCGCCGACCCTAAGGCGCATCCGCCATGGGTGGATCCCACATAGTCGTTGGTCACCACCTCCTCCTGGGTCAGACGCAACTCGTCACGGAGCCGGTCCAAGCTCGCATCCGCAGCTGCCCCAGCAGTCTGGGAATCCTCCAGATCCCGCTCGAGGTCGTGGATCCGGGATTGGAGCTGGTGGATCTCAGATCCGGCGAGTGCCATCTCCCTAAGGAGATGGTCGTTGTCATCTCGCATGACATCTCGCTGACGGGAGGCGCGATCCAGCCATCCGGTCAGGTCGCGGATCTCGACCGCCTGATCAGCCAACAAGAGTCGCAGGTCCTGCGACCAAGAGGCCGCACGGTGCTCCCACCCCTGAATCTCCATAGCCTGGTCATGGATTTGGGCTCGCAAGGTCTGAAGTTGGGTAGTGTGCAGAGACGCAGCTTGGTCTTGGGCATCTTGAGCCGTCTGGAGCTCCGCCGTCAGGGTTTGCACCTGATCGGAAAGAGCCTGGGCTAGAACCCGCAGATCGGTGGGCGACATAGAAGACGGACTGACCGGAGGGGTGGTGGATGGGGCCTTGCCCGACGATTTGCCGGTACGCTTGGCGGGAGACATGTGTCGCGAAGGGGAGAAAGCGGTTGTGGATGCTGGTAATGCACGCCGTGAACGCTGTTGTGCAGCGCCGACAACGTACAGGAGGCGATTGTGGTGAAGTGCTTTCTCAGAAATAAGAGAATGGTCCTGACGCGGGGTCACTATCCCGAATCAGTGACAATTTCAAGTGATTAGAGAGGATTTGGGTTGGCTGGCACGGATGCAAGTTGCCTGTGGTGCTTAGCCATGACGAGCAGCACCCCGTATGAAGTGACGATGGATCTGGTTTGAGCGATGTACGAGAAGGCAAGATCCACCAAGACTTACCTCGGATCCACCCTTACCTGGATTCACT